GACTACAAGGACTTTTGTCTTTTACCTAAATGTTAAGGTTTATAATTTATAAACTTAGGTTTTATATAATATACAAACTACTCTTTTTCTTTCTTGAAAACCATAGGTAGTTAAGGGAAAAGGGAAGAGTGGATTTTGAATTAGTTTATTCAAAAGTATACATGTCTTATAGAGCATGGGGGCATATAGGTATATGGACATGATTTGGTTAAAGTATTAAGGACTAATGGTCCAAGAATGAGCCTTAAGTAAAGGTTTTCATATGTTTTTATGTGATGCTCTCAAAATCGTAACATGTAGCTATTGGATTAGTGTCTAAGTCCATAACTATAATTGGTATATAGTTTACCTGACCCAACATGGTCTATTTTGGGCTGCATGGCATCATGCACTTGGATAGACTAAAATGAGAGAAATGACACTTAAGTTTATTAATATATTATAAGTTCAAATATATTAATAAGATTATTTAATTGGTATTGATCAAGAATTAATTTAGAATTAATTAAGTGATCAAAAGAAGACTAATTAAATATATGGGTTGATTGTGTAAATCATCCATACTTGTATAGTGGGCTAATGCTCCACGGATTATCAAGTTAGGCTAAAACCCATAGGATGCTCCATGGTGTATTTGAACCCATGGATCCAAGGAAATGGAAAGCCATGACAATTAGGGTTTACCCTAATTGTGTCACACTATATAAACGTATCATTCTTGTCAAAATTGTCTACTAGTACATAACATAGAGGGCAAGCCAATTTCTATGAAATCATATCTTCTCTCATGGTTATTCCAAATGTTCATGGTGTTATGTGAACCATTTGAGGGGTCACATTTGGGGTACTAGGATCTTCAGCTCCATGGAATCAAGCACCAACAAAGAGGTATGTAATTCTACTAGTTTTATATTACTTGTACTTCATAATATGCTAGTTAGTATAATGCCTTGGAAAATTGATATTTGCATGTATAATAGAGAAAACATAGATCCAAGGTATCTAGGGTTGCATGTACAACATAGGAGTGTTATTAGATATTGCTTAGGAATAGATAACAAAAGGTTTTCATATGTATGTTCATTGTAAGGATAAGTTTTTTTCGCAAGTTTTAAAATAAAAGAAATTTTTTTTTTATTTATTTTTTTAAGTATCCTTACAATGGAATTTGTGAAAAAAAATTGTTTATATGTCTCCATTGATAAGCAATATTGGTAAATGGATTTGATTCTTTCATTTGTGGTAGTGTCATAATTTACCAGATAAGGAAAGATTCTCATCACCTAAGTTTCAATTGGATAGAAACTTGGAATTATGCAAGTTGTGATGAATGAGAAATTTTCATCTTTGGGAAATTAAGACTAAGTCCTTGTTCACATGTATATGTGACTCAAGTGAATGACTAAGTGATCAAGTACACATTCTTGTGCACTAGTAAAAGTCCACCACAAAGGATCAATAAGACTATTTGTCATGTAGTTTAGTAAATATGGTTATGCTTACAAGTTTAAGTGTAATTCCGAAACATTGGAAAAGTTTCAATGTATGGCAAAATGAATAATAAGAATCAAATAAGGAAAAAAGATAAAAGTTTCTCCAATCCGAAGAGATGGGAGAGTACTTGTGTCTCTTGTTTTATGATTATCTTAGTGATTATGGAACCATATCACAATTGATCCTCTAAGGACACCTTAGTGCATTTGTTTGCCTAAGGAGAGGATCGTGAATTGTTGAAATGGTTAAATCAAAAGATAAATCATACTTCGTTCCAAAAACAAATCCTAAAGTTTTACTCCAAGATTGTAAGTTGAGTGACATGGTCTTTAGAAAGTTTTTTAAAACTTGTCAAATGTAGAGTAAGATGTTTCCGATTCTTATACAATTGAGATTGATAAGTTGTGATGTTTTGGATAAGACATAGACCAACTAAGACCAATTATGAGAAGTGTTTAACTTGATAAGAATCCGCACTAACTCTTGAATATTTGTTTTATCAAGAAATGGTTCTTAACAAACAGAATCTTATATGCCAAGAGGTTAGTGGGAGTCTTAAAGATCTTGAGATAGTTTCAAGAACTAATCAAGAGGATTTTTAATCACTAGCCCACGACTTGAGGTTTGTAACCTATCATGCTGACATATTCTTATCTCTATGTCTATTACAGAAAGGTTGACTATGCTTGTGTGCTCTATGAGTTCTCAATTGTTTGCACAACAACCTTGAAGCAATGGTAGGCCCTTGTGCTTCTAGGTGGCAAGAAATTAAGATTGAACAAGTTCAGTCCATATGTGTTTGGATTTGCCATTAAGCTTGTCTTGTGATTATGGTTATGACAAATTTACATGGATAGGAACACTTACACCATAAAATCTAAGCATCATAAGGTTTCTCTTCGATTCATGAAAAGGATGGTGAGGAAACTTTTTCACTAAGAAGATTTTATGTAGATAGCAATTGTGAGAATGACAAAAGGTCTAAACATTATGATTACGACATCCGTCTTCATAATTTTTTAGACACACAAGTGAGCTATCTAAGGAAAGGTGTATGATTTTAATAAAGTCTTATCAAAGCAATTGCGTATCATAAATCTGAACTTTGGTAAGAAAGTCAATAAATTATTGATTTCTAAAAGTCCAGCTGATCTCTGGATACATGTCAAAGCTAGTGGGAGCATAAGTGTTATGCTAGTAAGATAATAATCATTATGCTAGTGGGAGCATGATTATTATGTTAAGTGTTGCAAGTTAGCAATATTAGTTATAGAAAACAAAAGTTTCAATTCGCTTTTGAAAAATTGTTTTGCTATAATTAAGGGAGAGGATTTTATACTTCATTCCAATTCTACAAGCTTAGATTGAGATTTTAATCAACTTTAGTCAACGATATATATATGAATGTTATGTTGGAATCGTTCAACATAAGCAAATTCGATATATGTTGCGTTCTCAAAATTCTATAATGATTATGCCATACCTCTTCATAGTTCGAATTACGAGAACACGGAAAATAATTTTTTTTAGCATGAATCGTGTCCCTTATGCTTCGGATACAGAATCGATTGCATGTGCTATAATATTTATCCATTCTAAATTTTCCTAATGCTTAGGGCATTAAGAGGGGAAAAGGGATTAGAACTGGATATGACTAAAATGGACAAATTGAGGTTTACCAAAGATTGGTTACTCATGGACAATTGGAAGTATAGAGTAAGGACCATATTGCCATATTTTGAAAAGAGGCAACTCTTGTTCAAAATTGATGATCAAAATGGGTAATATGGAATTGTTTCCATAGGTGGAAGTTATTCTTTGAATCTGTGTAAGATTAAAGAACTTAATGCAAAGAAGGATGTTCAAAGGAATGTACTTTGAATTTGAGACTTCATTTCCATGGAATTGCTTTCCATTTGAATACTCTATAATGTCTGTCACCGTGTCTTTGTCACTTTTGTGCATAGTCATTACAAGGGGATCATTGCATATGAGTTTAGAATCTAACATATTACAGTAAATAGCAAGAGTTAGGTATTCTTACATTTACAAAAAGGATTGGGATTGTGAAATGAGCATCATTGAAATGTTGTCAATCGATATGTTTCACAAAGAGAGGACCACATGTCAACTTAGTGTGCATACTTGGAGTATGGCATAGCTATATTTTTGGACGGACATAGTGTGCATGCTTGGAGCATGGCATAACTATTGTTTCAATTCAAGTAGTAAGTTGATTAATCGAAACAATGAATAATGAGTAATCAATATGGTGCTTAGACAAAAGGGTTTTATTTATACTCAAGAGTTTAGGGCCATATAGGATTAAGAATTATTCTTGTGTTTCACTTTGCATGTTTTGACTTCCAGAATAATTAGATCATTCTTCCCGAGTGATTAAGTTATTCAAATCATCCACAGTCGGTCATACGTTAGAAGTAGATAGGAATCAAGATTGTCATGAATCTGGCTTGTAAGATTTGTCTATGGTGCGTTAGACATAGCAATGGTTGCTACAACATTCATGAGTGCTCATAAGTTATGAGTATTGGATTTAACCCACACTCATTTGAATCACTTCATGGATTTTATCATGAGACAATAAAATCTTATATTCTTCAAACCTAGAGATATGATTTGTTGACTACGGGTTGGTGTCACTACTAGAAAACAGACCTTTAATGACGCGCTTTTTACGACACTCACTGATTAATGATACGCAAAAAGGTGTGCCCTACAAATAATGTCAGATCTTTAGAAATTTGAAGAATGTAGGACGCGCATTTTTTGCGTGCCCTAAAATTATTGTCCCACAAAAAAAAAAAACCTACAAACACGGAGGGCGCATACTGAAAGTGTGCGTCCACTTTGAGTGTCTCTTTATAATTTTTCACTCAAAACGCGTGTTCAAGGGGGAAATCAAATCCTCTTAAAAGTCTAAAAGTTTTAAATATCCCGCTTCAAGATCTCCCTTCATTCTCTTTTTCCCTTCTCTCTACAAACCGTAATCATAGATACCATTCATTCTCTTCTTCCCTTCTCTTTACAAACCCTAATCATAGATACCATATCTTCTTGCTTCGGTTGTTATAGTTTAATTGGACCAAAATTAATCATATATTAATTTTTTTAGCCAAGGGCTGTAGAGTTGAACACGAACACAGGGGAAATTACAACATCTCACACCTAAATCGACGCAATCGAACATATTTTAGTCCTCCATCTTACATTGAAAATCATTTCCCCTTCCATTGCCGACCCCTTTGGAGCGATTTCTAGGGCTTGAACAACATTTACCCATGTCGACACTCCATCTAATGCCCTCATCGCCTTTTTTTTTCTTTTTATTGAGGGGGTGATTCTAATTAGGTATATGCTATTCCATGTTTCAATTTCTGTAATTGCAATCCTCTCCTCCCATCAATATGATAATAAATGAAGATGAATAAGTCAAAAAAAATTTCTTTTTTGGTCCCAATTTGTTTTTATCTCACCCCTTCAATTCCATGGGCAGAGGTCAGCGGGTCGTCGAGCCTGGTTTTCAATCGCATGCCATAATTCATGCAGGTGCTGGAGTTCAAGCCCTGACAAAAGAACACTTCAAAACTGTTCGATTTTGGACAAGAACGACATGGGTAGCAATTGTAAGTCGAAAAAGAAGAGGTCTCCGGCTGAGTCCTCATCGGAAGGCTTTTGTTCTTTCTCTTCGTTACCAATATTTCTCTGTTTATACAATTTTCAATACGAATTGATGAGGATACTCGTGTTATGTAGACGGACGGAAGAACAAAAGGTGTAGAAGTTCAGAAACAAAGAGTGATAAGAAAGAGAGAGACTCCGATAGGAAGCACAAATCGCATAAATCTTCAAGTACTAAAGGTACGCTTCGCTACATCATGAGCTTACATCCAGTTTTAGTTCTGTTGTTGATTTGTTTCTGTAATGGAGGAAAGCTAGGGTCTAATTTGTTATCGAGTATAGTCTTAGTATAAACACTCTCGATCCGATTAGTTACAGAAGCAAGCTACTTAGTTCGATTAGGGTTTTTCAGCTATCTGTCTGCGCATTCTGTTTTCCATTCATGAAGATACGATACCCAATTTTTAGCTTTCTGATGAATATGATACCTTTGTTCTTGTGTAATTGGGATTTAGAACTAAGAATCCAGTTGTAAGGACTTCTATCCTGCCAATAATCCCTTTGATTTGAACAACAAGCTGGTACTGTTTCTCAATTTTTGTAACTTTGATTTGAACAACAACCTGCTTCCCTTGTATATAACTAACCTTAGAATTCCTCCTCATATACAGAACCCTTAATATTCACCCTAAGGCATATTTTTTTTTTCAATAAGCACTAAATAGATGTCTAAAGTCTGATTGGGCCAGACATTGGATAGATAAACGTGCTAATTACTGCTACACATCCAATTATAGAAAAGGGTAGTATAGGAAAATAAATAACATCTTATTAATGGAGGGGCATTTTAGGTATTTTCTTTAAAATGCATATAAAGGAGTAGTAGATGGAAGGAGTCTTATATTTTTTCAAGTTCTAGTTCTGGCATTGGAACCTTTGGGTGAATCTCTAGCAAATCATTAGGGGTTTAGCTTTGTTGATTTGAGTGTTTAATCCTGAGTATTGATTTCTTCTTCTGTTCCTTCCTGAGTATTGATTTCTTCTTCTAAGTTGTAAGTGATTTGGTAGTAGTTACCTTCCTTGTTCATTAAGTTTTCATTTTATCTGAAAAACATCTTAATCTCATAGACATACTATAATAAAGTCTGATTGCCTCTCTCTTAACTTATTGGAAAAAAGATAATCAGATGAGAAGAAAAAAGAAGAAGAGGGACAAGACAACAAAAGTATCTTCTATGTTGTAAGTTGTAAGTGAGTTGGTAGCAGTCAACTTCTTGTGGTATTGCTGAAGATGATGGTAATTGTTGTATCTCTTGACTTGAAAGTATCTTCAACCATGACAATCTTTTGGGTCCATATGTTACTGGTTTAATGAACCTTGATTTATTCATTGAATTGTTAAAATTCTTCTCTATTAGGTGTTTTCTCTGGATCACCTTCAGATCATTGCACAGATGAGTTGGAAATGGTGAGCACTCTATTGACTGATCTTTCAATTGTGGATTCTCTTACACTTTTAGTATTCTTTTTTAATGATTATAGGACACTGAAGATTTAGCAGTCCTCTTCTATCCTGATCATATGGTGTATGGTGATAGTTATTGTACAAATTGTGTTTTAACTTTCACCAGCACTTGCATCAAAATAGAGGGTTCAGGTTCAACTCTAGATGGAGATGACAAAATCTTGAAATTACAGTGGGATGTTCAGGATTTAGTTCATATCAAATCTCATTGGTATGAGCTGGTAAGCCCACAATGAGCTTTTAACATTATGTATCTCCTTATTCTTTAGGGTTTGGAATTATTGTACCTTGAATTTTATGTAGGTTGAGATGGCAATGGTGACCATTCATGTACTTACTGAAGATACAGTACAACCTGAAAATGTCGAATACACTTCAGGTTAGATAATCATTATTTTTTTTGTGAAAATGTTCTCATATTGTTTTACCTATCCATTTTTCAATTAAAGAATAATTATACATCTATTTTATGTAATTCAGGTGCTGAATTGAAGTTTGCAATCATGGGGACTAACTGGTTTGGGAAACAAGAAGCAATCACAACTTTAAATGTTGCATACAAAACTTTACGGAGCAGTATGCTTGAGTTAGAGTGAGTTTTTTGGCAACATCTTTGAATTTTTGGTTTTTATCCTTCGAATTACCATCAATCTTGATCTTTATTTCATTAAATCAGTCATTTATTTGAATTTTAATTAAGTAACTTGGTATATTCATATGGGATTATTGTTGCAGGGACACTATTCTTGGACAAATCAAAGCACCTTTTACAAAGTATTTTCCCAAGTAAGTGCAAAAAGATTTCTTTTGGCAAAGTTTCATATGAATTTTGATCCTTGTGTTAACTTTAACAGCCCTTTTGTTAAATTAATAAATATGACTGTTTTGCCCTTATCCGATTCTTGGATTTTATATTTCATTGGATGCTTGCAGCTTTGACCAAACTTTTGAAGAAGTTCTATATCCAAAATGGGATGTTGATGCTGTTTCCATTATTAATAGAGACATTGATTTGCTGCTACCAGACACATTTGTCAATGACACTATCATTGACTTTTATGTCAAGTATGTTTATCTTATTTATATGATGGAATGAATTACTTTCATAACAATCCATATTACAAATATAAAAACTTAAATGTACATCCGACTAGAAGTCATTACATATGAAATTTTATTCTAACTTTCTAACTGATGACAGATACTTGAAGAACAAAATCAGGCCTGAAGAGAGACAGAGGTTTCATTTTTTCAATAGTTTTTTCTTCCGGAAGCTAGCTGACCCAGAAAAAGAACCTTTAAATGCCCTTGAAGGGAAAACAGCTTTTCAACGCGTAATAAAGTGGACACGAAAAGTTAATCTTTTTGAGAAAGATTTTGTCTTTATTCCTGTAAATTACAAGTAAGTTGGAAAACAGTTTGCTTTCTAGACATTTCATTTGAACAATTGACAATTATTTCTGTTGTTTGACAGCTATCATTGAAGTCTTATTGTGATGTGTCATCTTGGGGAAGTTGCGAAATACAAGGGTATATCTGTCATTTCTCTTTGACATCTTCAAGTATTTTATGAGGCATGGTTATCCCTTTTTTATAATGTTACAATCTGGTTTATAGATGAAGAAGATGTAACTGAGTTGATTAAAGTTCCATGTGTTCTGCATATGGATCCTATCAGAGGTAGTCATACTGTCTTGAAAGGTCTTATGCAAAGGTAACATTTTTTTTATTATATAAACATTTTGTTTATATTTAAATTATAAACCTTTAAATATGCCATTCTAGCTATCTGAAAGAAGAATGGAAAGGGAGGCAGCAGGAGGCATCTGAAGATATATCATCAAGATTCGATAATCTACGCTTTATTTCACTTGAGGTATCATCTGCATAAATAATGTTTCAAAATTATTTGAGAAATGGAAAGGTAAAATATACGAGGGCAAAATTGTGAATTTGTATTAAATTCTAAAATCTGAATTTTGTGTTGTTTTTGCAGTTACCACAGCAGCCGAATTCATTCGACTGTGGTTTATTCTTGCTCCATTATGTAGAACATTTCTTGGAGCAAGCCCCGATTAATTTTAATCCATTTAGAATCACAAAAAGTGTCCACTTTGTAAGGATAGGGACCATTTATGTAAAAATTAATGATATAAGTGAGCTGTTGTTTGTGAATATGTGACTCAGCTAAATACGGATTGGTTTCCACCTGCTGATGCATCCTTGAAAAGGGTGGTTATTCAGAGACTGGTGTACGATCTCCTACAACAACCTTATGATGAAGCTGAAGCCTTTTACAAAGTATTTTCCCAAGTAAGTGCAAAAAGATTTCTTTTGGAAAAGTTTCATATGAATTTTGATCCTTGTGTTAACTTTAACAGCCCTTTTGTTAAATTAATAAATATGACTGTTTTGCTCTTATACGATTCTTGGATTTTATATTTCATTGGATGCTTGCAGCTTTGACCAGCCTGTTGAAGAAGTTATATATCCAAAAGAGGATGTTGATGATGTTTCCATTAGTAAGAGAGACGTTGATTTCCTGCTACCAAACACATTTGTCAATGACACCATCATTGACTTTTATGTCAAGTATGTTTGTCTTACTTATTTCATGGAATAAATTACTTTCATAACAATCCATATTACAAATATAAAAACTTAAATGTACATCAGACTAGAAGTCTTTACATATGAAATTGTATTCTAAATTTCTAACTGATGACAGATACTTGAAGAATAAAATCAGCAAAATGAAGCCACTTGATTTAAATCTTGCAGCATTATCAGCAAAATGCAGTAAAGACTTGGAGTTGAATTTGCTATGTCATTATTGAGTAAGATGGGCCAATGTACAACTGCTTATCCATATAATCAACTGTTTGGAGCATTAGTCTTAAAGAATTATGAAAGGAAAGATGCAACTTTATTTAGTTGGAATTTGATGTACATAGTAGATTAGATGCAAATTTATATATTGTAAGAAATAGAATTGTATGACATTAGATTTATGCAATGGATTCTATTTTTTGTATATGATATTTTATTTTCTATTATGAAACATTAAATACAAATTTAATTTGAAAAAGAGTAAATATATAAATGATATATTTTTTTAAAAATTTAAAATTATGATACGCAAAAATGTGTGTCATCTTCATTTATGACATGGCCTTTCTTGATAGGGGCTTTCTTGATACACATTGCATGTCATTAACACGCGCGTCGTAAGGTTACGACACGCGAATGCGTGTCGTCTTCCTTTATGACGGGGCCTTCCTTGATACGCATTGCGTGTCGTAAATGCGCGCCATAATTGCACGTCATAAATGAGCGTCATAAATGCGCGTCGTCTCTCTTTATGACAGGGCCTTCCTTGACGTGCATTTGCGCGTTGTCTGAGCCTTTTACGATGCGCAATGAGCGTCATAAAAGGCTGTTTTTCTAGTAGTGTGTAAGTCCCGATCTATAGATCCAAATCAGTGATCAATGAAATGCAAACAAACAAACATAATGTAGAAGAGAAGAGAGAGAACTAAGTTAAGCATGCACATATCTATATCACATAAATGTCAGGTACACCTTGGAAAACACATACATACGTCACTCTATAACAAACACATACTAAGACTATTTATACCACCTGAAGCAACTCACAAATGTGCACCCGCACAAATGTGTATGGCTGCACACACATGTACAACAACACACACCCATAACCAAGTTACAATCACCATAATACTCCCTATCATCCTACCAAGACCTATACAATAGAATGCCTAGCCCAAACCACAAAATCATAGACTATCAATCCCCCCCTTGGTTTGAGGCTAGCATAGACTTGGTATTCATTCTTCAGGAACTTTGGACAGCTTCATATCAGCTTTTCCCATGGATCCCATCAATCGCTTTCCATTTATGAAAGAGGCGACCATTCTAGTGAATTCCTTGGCATCAACTTCCATGACATCTTTTCTACAAATAATTTGGTGACGAGCTAGGGTATGAATGTCTCTCTCCCTGAATCTCAGAAGATCCTTTATGTAGAAGAGTCTAAAAATGGTGTCCCTTTTTTTGAACTTCATTGCCGCAGTTGTCGTATCGTCATCCAAGGCCCAAAATTCCATATCATCAAGATATCCCTCCTGAAAATGTTGAGAAAGGGGAATCTCTTTGACTTGATTTGTAGCAGGCAACAACATGATCTTCATTGGTCGGTTAGTCTCGGGATCAATAATATCCTTATCCTTTATAACCATCAATTTTTCCGTCTTCATTGATGGGAAGTTATCCGTAACCTATCTATCCAGAAACTGCTTGAAAGTTATAGCACCATGATCATTAGAGGGATTGTGGAATGGGGCTCTTGAGAGTTGAGAGAGATCGACCTTCATCCATGAGTGAAAATCATGGATGTTTCTGTAGTAGTATGAGCGACTAGAATTCCTCTTAACCACCCATAGATAAGACTTAGGATCATAACCCCACATTCTGATCCCTGAGCGATTTCCATACTTGTCACCAAATTTTCATTTTTTAAGATCTGTCACTGTCAATTCAGGATCCTTTGACTTGCAATTATCATTTGAATTCTTCATAAAGATCAATCTTTCATTTTTTTTTGGACTGACTGTCTTCTTTTCATGCCTGATCGTGATTCAAGGTCTGGCATTGTCAGGTTCCTTTTCAAATTGATCAACGATGGTGGTTGTTCTCGGAGGAGTAGGATCAACAGGAAAATCACTTTCTGAAGGTTGAAAGGAAGCAGTGGGCGGATCTTCAACGCCATGAGGTTGTTGAAATAGAGATTAAAGCTTATCCCCAAAAGTGTCAAAAAGCTTGTTCTTCAAGTAAAAGTAAAAGGCAGTTACTGACCCAGGATTAGCTTGCAGGCCAGTAATTTGTTTTCTGTTTGAGGCATTCTCTGACTGAAGCTGAGTGATAAGGTTTCCATATTGTTCCAGCAAGATGTCCTTTTCAATGTTTTGTTGTTTCAGAATGCCAACTTCTTCTTGAAGTTTGGATACAACAACATTTCTATTCCCTGAACGACCTTCCTCAAAAGATATTCCCTTTCCACGGGAGGAATATTTTGGGCTATGTTGAGATAAGTGTCTAGCGAGTCTGATAGAGGCCTCATCCCATGACGGTCTCGTTGGAGAATATGCCATAACATTAGATGGTCCTCCTATCTCATGTATGGTACTTGGACCATCATGGGATTGGAGGCGTGGTGTTGCAATAGTTGCGGAGATAACAGTGGCTGAAACGGGTCGTGACTGGCTTTGAGTGAACACTCCCTGCCTCAAATTCTGATGTCGTCCTTGTACGGGAGGCAGAGAGGTATGTGTCTGTGTCGAGGTAGATGTAGGAGTAGCAGAATCCAGGGGAGGAATCCTTGAATATGTACCATGTTGACTTAAATTTTATTCCACTTGGGTAGACGAAGGAGGCATAGCTTTAAGAGTCTTCTTTGCAACCCTAGTCTTGGTTGCAGTTTGAGCAACTTCATCGACCTTTTCGAAGAACCTATCAGAGAGAGCCAGATCTGTGTCAAGTTCATTTTCATGTTTAAAGTCGATATTGAGGGGAGTGACAACATTGTCAAGTGTTGAGAAGTCCATGTCATGTAGAAATTTGTCATTTCCTTCATGTTCTCCTCTACCTCCATCTATATCAGAATCACTCTCATCTTCCACAATCTGTATTATTTCATGTTCTGATGCAACTCTGGCCACAGGAGAGTTTAAACCTTCTTCGTTTTTAGGTTCAAAAGAGGAAATAACCACATCGTCAGTCTCCGTAGGATAAGAAGATTCGTTGGGTTCTGACTGATCATTCTCATCGGCAAAGATGCCAAATCTGATTAAAGGAAATTTTCCTTCAAAGTTGAGCTTTCTTGATCTCTTTTGCCTCACTAAACCAAAAGCACTTGGGCCGACTGACATGATATCTATGGTCTCTCATTTCCTTTCAATCTCAGGATGCATGACGTTAAGGATCAGTTGGATAAACCTTGGACACACAAGGTGTGCGGCCGCATACGGTGTACAGTTACACACTGATTTCAACAGCACATAGCGCTAACCGCACACGAGTCCAACCGCACACGGATGGTGTGGCCGTACACGGTTCAATCGCATACACGACAACCATACATGAGGATGCGACCGTACACAAGTCATCCGCACACGACCAGCTGCACACGGTGCGTGCCGTCGCACACGCACAGATTATACCGATTCAATGTCGATGTTAATCAAGAACTGTATTACGGGAGTCGATTTCATGATACTAACGAGTATTAACCTTTAGTTTCAACGAAAAATGAGAAGAAATCTTGAAGATTAGAGAGAGAGAGAGAGAGAGAGAGAGAGAGAGAGAGAGAGAACAGAAGAGTGTGTGATCGACTTTTCAGAGGAGTAAAAGTGAAAAAGGTAATTTGATCGCACATTCCCCATTTTGTACAATCCAATAAGGTTGTGTCTCCCCCTTCATCTTTTATCTTTTGACAATAAAAGCCCAAAACCCAAAATATTTTTAAAAAAAAATGAAACATTTTGAGGATTAAATAAAGAAAAATAAAAATAAAATCAAAAGAAATTAAAATGAAATAAAATAAAATAATATTCTAAGATTTACCAATCCTTAAAATTAAAAAATAAAATTAAAATAAAACTTTATTCAATCGAAGTTTAATCCACTATATTGAAATCGAATAACCTTTTGTGATATGGGATCAAAGTTGTTAGATAATTATTGTCCGTTTATCAGTACCTCTCCGTTCATGAATAAATCTAGTCGATCTCCAGTATTGTGGTCCACTTAAATACAAAAAATTTGTGACAACATTTAGGAATTCTATCAATAATAGGACATATTGATCCTAAGTTACTAGATAAAAAAACCTAAGGACCATTCATCTGATGACAACCAAGGCTATTGTTGTCCACCTAACTTAAGTAGCGAGATCTACATACAATCTAGAGTTGTTCAATTTTAAGTGTACTAGAACATGTTTCCCACTTTCTGATATACCCCAATAATCAAGAACTTCCGAGATACTCCTTACTTTAGGTGAGTAGACAATTATTCATAGAGAGAATAGATTTAGATTATGATTATTATTGTTTTAGAGGGATTGAGAAGTAGAAGGTTGCATATGTTGTGTACCAAGTCGGATTGTTAATCACACAAAGGAGACAACATATGGCTAACAGATCGGAGGAATTTCATAGATATAAGATGCAGAGAAATAGTTTTGCATATGTTGCAGTCTAGGTCGGATCTCTTCCAATCACGTAGAGGAGGCAACATATGACTAACAGTAAGAAAGAAAGAAAATAATTTTCTACAGACCTACTTTATCGGAATTCCCAGTCGCTCCGTCAATACCGAAATTAACGACAGAATCCGTACATCGAGGAAGAGTAAAACCACAGTTCTAGATACAGGTTCTTTAGAGTGACTGGTGGATTCTCATGAATATCTCCCTGCTCAACCAATCTGAGTGTCATATTGTCAGGCTAAACGGAACTATCTATGTCAAGATTTATCAAGTCTCTAGATTCCTTAAGTTCATCTGCACCTAGTCAAGACCATTAAATTTTTCTTGCCTACCAGCGCATTGAACATAGAGCTTAGACAATTCAACTTTGGTACTTTACACAGATTCAAATTGCTCGTTATCACTTGTTGATTTCACTTCCCAACACATCACTTAATAGAAATATTTTTGATTTTTCTGATTTTCTAATGTTTTTGGATTTTTGACTGTTTTTCAATCTTTTTTGTTTGGTTTTTGATTTATTCTCCCCCTAAATTTGTGCATGGATGA